GGCTCCCGGTGCGGGGGGGCTCGCTGGATCCCGCAGCGCGGTACGTCCCCCTTTCCCGGTGGTCCTGCCCGACCCTTTCCCATCCTGACCCCTCAGGATGCCCGTGGGGTGCAAGGTGCTCTGAACGCTGTGGGGCTGGGATGCAAGAATGCACTTATGTGCCATAATCATCACCTGAGCAGCCTGTGGGGAGCAAAGAAGGGGCATCGGGGTGTCCCGAGGGAATTGGTGGGGCTCGGGTGGTCTGAGAACGGGCGCCAGCACCGGGAGTGCCACGTCCTTCTGTGCTGCAGCATCTTCCCAATGGCCCCGGCAAGGCCAAGTTCAGGGGTGCTCAGGGGTGCTCATTGCCCCCTGTCACCCCTCCAGCTGGGGCCGTGCAGGAGCCCTGCTCTCCTTTCCATCATGCCCGGCTCCTTTTGTGGCCGGTATTGTTAACTGACAGGGCTCTCGGCTCCCTTCCCTCCCCCTCCTTGGTGGAGGAGTTTCCCTTGTGCTCCCCAGCCATTAACAAGCTCTCCCGTGTCTCACTGACCCTGGACAGGCTGCAGGTCCCACATGATGGCAGTGGGGCCAGGATGTCCTGGCTGCAGACATGGCATCGTGCCGGAGTGCTCATCCTGCCCCAGGAAGCCCGAGTGCCCAGCTGCAACAGGGCCGTGCTGCTTTCAGCACAGCTCTGACGCCCCGGTGCCAGGCTGCTGGTGCCGTGCCAGGCAAGCACACCACTTCATTACAGAAGGGACTTAATTACTGGGCTGTAGGACCAGGGAATGAGTTCTTGCTCGTGGTCCCTCAGGAGATTTGGTGGTGCCGGTTGTTGCCAGCACTGCACTGCCAAGGCAAAGCCAGTGTTCCCTGAGGAGCTCAGTGCTGGTGCAGGCATGGGGTTGATTCTTCATCAGTGCCAATGGTGGCCTTGGCCTGGCTCTGTGGGGGTGCCAGTCACTGTGCCACCATCCACACCTCGCCGTGCTGCTGGGCAGCTGGTGGCACCCTGGGGTGCTACGCCCCAGCACCACCTGGCTGCTCCTCATCAGACCCATGCTGCATCTAAAAACCTTCTCCCAACAGCCCTCCCAGCCATGCCAGGCCCTGAGCTCGCTGCAGCCCGGCACGGCCACTGGGCAGGTTGTGGCTGCTGGCAGGGCTGTAAGGAAAGTCAAACCGCTGCATGGCTGGAAATCACTGACTAAGCACTTGGCACCGGCGCTGATAGAAGTGCTAAAGAGATTTTGGCAGCCGCAGCCTGTCCTGCAGGTGCAGAGAGGAGAGATTTGCCCCTACGGTGTGTTCGGATGATGCCGGTTTGGCCGGTGCCAGAGCAGATCCAGGGACCAATAACATGGGGTGCAATGGTGACACCAACGGCCCCCGCGACGTGGATCCCTGGATATTACCCCGTCCCACCCCCTCGCTGGGAGCAGCCCGTGGGAAAGGCCGAGTACTGCAGACCTGCTGACATCCGTCCATCGTCCCCGAGGACCCGTTAGCCGGAGCGGGGCCCGTCTCGGGGCCGGAGGTTGGAGCCAGTGCCGGGCACGGTGCCACCCCCGCGCCCCTGGGCAGCTTTTGTCTGCCCGCTGTTTGCATCCCGGGGGGGACGGCTCGGCCCCCTTCTCCTGGGAGCTGCAGCGGAAGCAGCGCTGGGCTCCTCTCCACTGGGACTGAATGGCACCTTTGTTGGGGAGCCTGGCGACAGCTTGGGGCTGGCAGGGACCTGCTCGGCCCCTTCCACTGCCATCGCTCCCAGCAACAGGGGGTTTTACCCCCCAGCACTGCCTGACCCTTCCTGGGGATGCTGCAGTGGGGATGGGATGCAGGGAGCTGCTCCTGGGGTCTGGATTTCCTGGTGGGCATTTGCTGCCTGGGTGGTTTGTTAATGTGTTAGATGGTTAATTGTTAATGTGTGTATGGGCTGCCAGGGCAAGGGGGGCTGCCAAGGGCACCCTGTCGTGTGGGGTCGGGCTGTTGGCATTTGCTTTGCTGGAAAGTTTGAAGATAGTGATAGGACAAGGGGTAATGAGAGAGAGGGGGGATTTAGGTTAGATATTAGGAAGAAATTCTTCACTATAAGGTTGGTGAGGAAGTGGAATGGATTGCCCCGGGAGGTTGTTGATGCCCCGTATCTGGAGGTTTTTAAGGCCAGGTTGGATGAGATTTTGTGCAATCCGACCTAGTGGTAGAGTTCCCTGCTTATGACAGGGGGGTTGGAGCTTGATGATCTTTAAGGTCCTATGCAACCTTAATGATTCTATGATTCTAAGGAGGGTGAGTGAGGCTGGCTGTAAGGACCCCGTGGTGCCCTGGTCCTCTCTGCCCCTTGGGGACTCTGTGGTGCCCTGGTCTTCTCCACCCTGAGGACCCTGTGGTGCAGGGGCGGCCCAGCCCAGCTCTGCTCCCCACACCTGGATGTCAGTGCCAGGCACAGCCACCCTTCCTGATACTCCCCATGCCCCATTTGTGCTGAATAATTGAATAGCACACTTTGAGTTATCTCCTGCAGGCTGCAGTGGGCACAGGGGCTGCTGTGGATCCCCAGCCCTGGCTGTTGTGCTGCAACCACCCTCCTCTTCCTCCTGCTCTGGCTCTTCCCTGGGAGCTGTGAGGAAGAGAGTGCTCACTGCAAAGCCTGACTGGCATTTTTCGGTTAAATCTTATGTAAATCTGGCTTCGTCGTTCTTTGTGGTGCTAATTGGATTGCCCTGCTGAGGTTTATTTTCCCACACAGGCAGGGGTGGGGGTCCTGGTGGAGCGTGCTGAGCCCCCTGCCCTGAGACCCCCAGGCTGCAGAGCTGTAGGAAGCCAAAACCTCGGTGGGGAGGGAAACCTGGCACACCCCAGGTTCCTGCCATGCTGATACATTGTCCCCTTCCTTCCCCCCAGAGCTCCTTGGATCGGCCAAGAAAGTCAACGTCAACTTCCAGGACACGGACGGGTAAGGGAGAGCCCTGCACCTGGATGTGCAGGTGGGGGGGCATGGGCAGGGGTACGTGTGCCCTGGGGTGCTGGCCATGCCCCACGTCTCCCAGCCTATTCCAGCTGGGGGCTCCGCTGGTGCTGCTGGCATCCAACCAGTGGAGGGGAGCAGGGACAGGGACTGCAGGTTCAGCACCCGCTAATTAAGCTAACTAGGTGCAGGAAGGGCACCAGAGCCCTGAAGAGCTGGGGACTGCAGTGGGAGCAGGCAGCAATGCCTGCAGGGCTGGGCAGCAGCCACCTCCTCTGCCCCCCAGCCCCCCTGCCCTGTGTCCCCCCTGACTGGGGTGGCAAGACAGGGATGCTGGGCAATGCCAGGTGGTCCCCGGGATGGCTCAGCTGTGGCCAGCAGGATGGCACGTGAGCAGAGGGGTTGGATGGGGTCAGGAATGAGAGGGCACCCCTAGGGATGCACGGCTGCAGCAGCTGGGTCCCTCCTTGTCCCCTGCACTGGGCAGGGCCATGGTAGCAGGGCGGTGGCAGCGGGCACCCCTGGTGCCCAGCACATGTGTGCATGCAGGGGCGTCTGGGGGTGCAGGCAGGTGTGTCTGTGCGTGAGCGCGTGTGCAGGGCGGCTGCGGGGACCTACCT